CCGGGGCAGGCGGCAGGCGGGAATCGAACTCATGCGGAAGTGGCTTCAGATTCTCAGTGCTGCGCTTTAACCCGCTGCGCCACCAGGGAGGGCCACTTGCAGACATTTTAATGGACAAAAATATGTTGCCTCATTTCAAGTGTACGATTATGTGCTCATAGTAGTTCATAAGCTGAGCTTCCTAAGTGGCAATCTGCTGCTAATTTGAAGAGCTATTTTATTAGTCATGAAGTTAAGAGCATAGTGTATGGGCATAGAAAAAAATACTTGAAAATGAGAAAACTATTCTTTCTTGATAATTAGGCATGTGACGTCCTCTTCTCCAAGCTTGTCAAGTACGATGAGCTTTACACTGCACTGACATCTCTGCTTGCGGCCGGGTCCCAGCTTGATACAGTGAGAAGAAAGGAAAACAAGAGCATAACAGCCCTGGTGAGAACGTGGGGCTGGACTCACTGGGAGCAGTTTGGGGTGTGTGTGATAATTGAGTGTAATTCTCCCAGGGATTTCCTTCTGGACCGACCCCATTAATTAAGTAGCTGTGCGCAAAATTGACCAATGTGTCAGTGTTATCTGTGTGACTTGGTGGTTTTATTCACCTTAGAGATAATTTTATCATTTTGGTGTTATTTTTTTACCATTGAGAGATGTGATTGTGAATTAATAGCCACTTTAGTGTTATTTCTCCTGAATGCTGGTGGATGGTTTATGATGCATGCCTCGCACTTGAACGTTTTCTCTGGTCCGATGAATGTGTCTGTAAAATTGTAACATCAGTTCAGGTCACAGAATGGGCCAGGTAACTATAGGGGCATGCTGAGGAGACTCTTGTGCCCTCTTTTGGTTACTTGACTTATTGGGGAAGTCTTAGAGCAGCTTTTTTGACCTGTGACCTGTGCAGAACATGGAGCAATTATTACTTTATTATTATGTGTATTCCCTAGAAAGAGCTCGAGACTCAAATCTCGTTTGGGAATTTGGATTTGACACAGTTAAGCTGCATTGGAAAGAGTCCTTACTGTTAGGGAGGGCTGACGCTATTTGGAGTGCTGCTTTCCTTGTGACCACACTTTTGCTTCTTCCAGGAGGCCTGTGCCCTTCAGTACTACTTTCTGATACTTTGGAGGATCCTAGGTATTTTGCCGCCCTCCAAGACTTACATGAACCAGCTGGCCATGAACTCGCCTGAGATGAGTGAATGTGACATCTTACACACTCTGCGCTGGTCTTCCCGCCTGCGGATCGGCTCCTATGTCACCTGGATAAAGGTACCTCTGTGTAGCACAGGTCTTAGAGCCAGCATACTTTGCACCTCTGGGAGCTTTTTTTTTTTTTTTTAATTTTTATTACAGTTTATTTTACATTTTTACTTTTTTTTTCCATCTCAATTGTAGTCCCCGCGGGTTTCCCATCACCCGTGTGCCATCACCGTAATCCCGTGTACTTCCCTCCAAACCCCCCCCCCCATTTTTGATCCCCTTCCCCCCCCCCCCCCCCAGAAAAATGTCTCTGATATAGTCGTTTATTCTTGTTATTTTCTCGCCTGGTCCATTATACTCCTGCTATGAGTGAAACCATCTGGTATTTCTCTTTCTCTTTCTTGCTTATCTCACTAAGCATGATCTTTTCCAGCTCCATCCAAGTTGCTGCAAAAGACATGCGTTTCTCTTTTTTGGTTGCTGAGTAATATTCCATTGTATATATGGACCACATCTTTCTAATCCAGTTATCTACTTTTGGGCATTTGGGCTGCTTCCATGTTTTTCCAATTGTAAATAAAGCCGCAATAAACATGGGGGTGCAGGTATCTTTTTCAATCAGTGTTCAGTGTTTTTGTGTATTTTGGGTAGATACTTAGGAGTGGGATTGCTGGGTCATAGGGAAGCTCCATGTTTAGCAGTTTGAGGAACCTCTCTGGGAGCTTTTTAATTTAAGGATAAGGAAAGCATTAAGACTGTGTTGATTCCTTGAACATTTTTCTCTTTGCTGTCCAAATAGGATCACCTTATCAAACAGGGGATGAAGGCTGAACACGCGGGGTCGCTCTTAGAGCTGGCATCCACCAAGTGCAGCTCAGTGAGATACGATGTTGAGATTGTAGAGGAATACTTTGCTCGACAGGTATGTTACGTTTAGAGTTGGAATGACAAGAGCGTGGCTTCTACCAGTCTTTGCTGTAGCTAATTAACGTCTTATGTGTTTTGAAAGATCTCATCGTTCTGTAGCATCGACTGTACCACCATCTTGCAGCTCCATGAAATCCCCAGTCTGCAGTCCATCTATACCCTGGATGCCGCCATCTCGAAGGTCCAGGTCTCTTTGGATGAACATTTTTCTAAGATGGCTGCTGAGACTGATCCTCATAAGTCATCTGAGATCACCAAGAACCTGCTTCCTGCCACGCTGCAGCTTATTGACACCTACGCATCTTTCACTAGGTGTGGCTGGCTTCCTGCCTAGAGACGTTGTCCATCTTTGGATGATGCTTTCTTTAGGAGCCTGAATAGTCTTCAAATAGAACTCTAATTCTAAGCACTGTTCATGCTGCAGATTCCCCAATGACTCAGAATTTTACATTTTTCCCTTCTTATCAGTTTGGATTCCTCTTCCCAACCCCCCATTTTACTTATAATGTACAAAGAACGATAATGTAGTATTTCCAAACACTGCCGTTTCTGTTCACTGAGATGAAGGGTTTTAAATTTCGTGGCATGTAGTTTGAGGAAAAAATTGCTTTATGAGTTATATTTTGAAATGCACCTCTTTTTATTATAAACCTTTCACTACATAAATGATGTTCAGATATTTTAGGATTCATGTTCAGTATATGAAATTTGGGAGTTTGTTAGAAAAATGGAGATCTGGATTTTTTTTCTGGATTTTCTTCAAGTGGAAGAGCTGGTAAGACTGTGCATAGCTTCCCGTATGGAAGCTTGAATGGCTTTATCCAGTTCTCACTGGCCCCCTTCAGCTGGTTTATTTTATCTGGTACCTGTAGGACTTTGCTGTTCAGTTCCTGTTCTAAGACACTTCCATGCTGAACTGGGCCTGGATCGTTGTGCTTCAGCTACTTCTTTTAGTATAAATGTCTTGCAGTAAAGAAGGGACTGTTACTTGAAAGAAAGTTTTGGACAGATACGAGCAGTCAGCATGAATAACGAATGAGCGTTTTTGCTATGTGCCCCTTGCATTTCTGGGTGCTGGGGGCGCGGTGACGAGGCTGACCAAGTCACTGCTCTCTGGCAGCCACGGACCTTGCTGGGCCTGTGACGGCAGTCTCCCAAGCTGAGGTGTTTGTAGACGTTCCTGGGCAAGTGAACTGGGCATGTGTTGGGCAGACCCTGGTCTTCCGAGGCTGGGGCCAGGGGCATTGCTGTCCAGACTGATTTGTCCTGAAGTAATTTTGGAACTATTTCAAAAGATGGGATGTTCTTTGGGAAAGAATTACTCATTGGGATTTTATGAAATCTGAAGAGGGCAGGCACTACCCACTATATTTAATGACTTAAGAAACTGGACTATGCATAGGTTTTTCGAGTTTGATGGGGAATAGCTTTAACTTTTACATCTCCCTATTTTTTTCTTCAGAGCCTATTTGCTACAGAACTTTAATGAAGAGGGAGCTACTGAAAAACCTTCCCAGGAGAAATTGCATGGATTTGCTGCTGTTTTGGCCATTGGCTCCAGTAGGTGCAAGGCGAACACTCTCGGTAAGCAACACTATTACCACAGGTATTACCACGACTTCTGTCTTTGGGACCTCTCTGTGTGGCAAGCCTTGACAGAGTTTTTTCTGTTTTGACTTTGAAAACCACCAGTGAGGCCAGTGTTGTCATCATCCCTGCTTACTCGTTAGGACACCAAGGCAGAGAGACGCTGTGCCCCCAGATTATGTAGCTTTCCAGAGGGAGCTGGCATCCAAACCTTTCTGCCATCTGCACAGGTCTTTCTTCTTTCCACTTTTAGAGAGGAGGAAGCCTAGCAAGCTACTGCTTTGTGCTTGAGGAAGCCTGTTCCTCTGTTAGGAATGATAGAAATTTAGAGTGGGAGGTCAAAAGCACCTGATTAGAATTAGAGTTAAATATCTCGCCATTTGTGTTTCCTTTCACTTGAATACCTTAGGTGGTAGAGTCTCACTTTTAGCAATTAAATTCTATTACCTCATTGAATGCTGTTCTTAACGTGCATGAATGGCCCCTGCCCTGAAGGTCTATCTTCAGGACAGAGAGGTCAAAGCAACACCTACTGTAAAGGAGTAGCAGACTTTCAGTGATGATTTAGCCCGACCTTAAGATTGCCCTCACTTTGCTGCTTGTTTTCAGTTGTGTTCTTTCCTTGCAAGATAATGAAGTGAGTGTGGTGGGATTGAGACCTTACAACCCAGCGTGTTGGCTCTTAAGCAGTTAGCTGATTCTTGGACATAGTATTGCGGCTGATATATCCACTAAGCTCTCAGGAACCATGTCGGCAGTCTGGGCTTTGGTGTTTCTCTCTGCACCTGGGCTTGGCTTTTAAATGTTGGATGTCATGCCACCTCGTTCATGACAGTCCTTTCTGCTTTTGTCGCCTCGAGGCCCAGCGTTGGTCCAGAATCTGCCTTCATCGGTGCAGACTGTGTGTGACTCCTGGAACAGCATCAGCACCAATGAGTTTCCCAACATCGGGTCCTGGGTGAGTGTCCGTCTCCCGAGTAGAAGTGGGGGAGCTAGCCCTTCTGTGTTCCGGTCTTAATTCTTTCGGTAGCTCCCAGAGACTTCACGTGTTGCAACAGTGCTTGCTTTGCCTTCAGTCGCCCACACGGTGGCCTTATGGTCCTTTTATCATGGGCTGCACTTCCTTTAAGTCTCCGTTTCTTCAGTGTTAAGACTGTGACCATTAAGTATACTGATGTAAAGTTCCTAGCACATGGATTTTCAGAAAATGTTATGTTTCCTTTTTTCTTTAAGTGTTATGTCAGGAACCTGATCCTTTGACCTAACTTCTTAGGCTTTTAGAGGAGACTGTTGAGTCCTTGTGTATGTGCTGCATCTATTATTCTATTATACCTTTTGGAAAAATCAAGATTTATAATTATTATAATTTTTTTTTAAAGATTTATTTATTTGTACATACAGAACTGGGGTACAGGCCAGAGGCTCAGGGGCAGTGAGAGACTTCCCCAGAGACAGAGTGGGGAGCAGAACAGCAGATCGACGAAGTACACTGCTGAAGGGAGCAGCGGGCGGGTCAGGAGAGGTCTGCCGCGCCATGTGGTCACCTGTCCAGGGCAGGCGGGAATCGAACTCATGCGGAAGCGGCTTTAGCTTCTCAGTGCAGTGCTTTAACCTGCTGCACCGCCAGGGAGGGCCAAGAATTATAATCTTTTATCCCTGTTTTGTAATCATGACCTCTGTTCATGTTTCCTGGAACTGTGGTATAAGAATAATCAAAATTTGAATGGAGACCTGCTGTATTAGAAAACCCAGACCCTTCTAAATTAGAGACAACGTGATGTTAAATATAGTACATAGCAATTATGTGTAAAGTGGTGTGAATATCTTAACTTTGTATTGACTATTAGTCGCTGCTTTTAATCACACCGCACTTTCCTTTCTCAGGATGAATAGTAGTGCATGTTGAGTGGAGTCTATCGTCTGTAAATCACAGGGGGTCTCCAATTATGCCATTTTGCTTTCTTTTTTGTCCATGTGAGACTTTTACCCTGGTAGATCAATGTTCTGTCCACTTATATCTGTTTTGTGACCTTTCAGCGCAATGCCTTTGCCAATGACACCATCCCTTCAGAGAGCTACATCAGTGCTGTGCAGGCTGCTCACCTGGGGACTCTGTGTGGCCAAAGTCTGTCCCTGGCTGCTTCCTTGAAGCATACCCTGCTCTCCCTGGTCAGGCTGACTGGAGATCTTATTGTGTGAGTACCGATGCATAGCCCTAAATGCATTCTAACCTTGTGTCATGTCATAGCTAGGGGCGGACAAGGAGACTTTTTTTTTTTTTTATTAAAAAGTTTATTTTTACATCATTTTTCACATTTTTTTTTTCATCTCAATTGTAATCCCCA